ATTCGGACACGATGACGTTCCGGATTCCCTAGAAAAAGCTGGACAAGCCACGTGCCATACTACGAACTGCTCTCGCCGATGGATGCTTGTCGAACCCCGCAACGCGTTGGGGGCAAGTGAATGACCATGACTGTGGTGATCCGACCGGCGTTACTTTGGACGCATGCGACGTTGCCGTCCTTCCCAGATGGTCAAAACCATCCAAAGTCGGGTCGATCTGGCATGTAACGCTAACGCATCTGCGGGAAGAGTTCCAAAAAGCGTCTTTCTCTGACGGTTTCCTCGCACGAAAGGCCCTGACAGCGAGCAAGCCACCCTCATCGTCAAACTTGACGCATCATCGGACGCGTCTTCCCTAGGCTGGGGTGGCGTTTTGTCAACATCGGGGGAGCCCAGTATCACACTGGTGGTGTGATCCCAACTGATTGGCTGCACAAGCACATCAACAAGGAGATGTTTGCGTTGTACCAGTTGTCGCGACTCTTTCCGTGTGCGCTTCCCGACTGACTTGCAGCGGGCTCAAGGGTTCATCGACGTCGCGTTTGTTGGAGCTACAGACCGAGTACCCAGTGGCTGCTAATGTCGTCGCTGATGGTATCTCGCTGCCCTGGCGCGAAAGCATCGTTCGTCTAAACCCCGAGGGTTTTCCGTGCTCTCTGGGAGAATGTGCGGCTGGTCGCCGTTGTTCTCATGGCTTCGGCGACCGAACAACGTTGTTGCTGAACGCAGGCCTCGGACCAAGACGCGTTCGAATGCCTCTGATTCTTGGGCACATAACGTAGAGGCACCAAGTGGGCACGACAGAGCCATGCTTTGGCGTATAGACTAGGTATGATACAATTTCGCGCATGCCTTCTAGTTTCGCAATGCGCTAACAGTACACAGCCGCGTTGATGCAGAAAGGGATCGTGTCCAAGTTGAAGATGGCGATCCAAAAGCAGTTGGGGCAAGACGGCAGCTGGGACCCTGTTACGCGGTCGGGCGACCCGTGTCGTAGTCCTCTCGTAGAACCCTACGTCATGTTTTAGGAACGGGGGATGTGTGGCACAGTTGCTGGATGGACCTGCAATCGCTGTTATCATGAAAAATTGCCGGGCGGCGTACCGATAGCGTCGCACTTGGCGCCTACTAGTGTAGGAACGGCGGGTTCCAAGACGAGGCGTAGCGACTACTACCCTGACTAAAACACGTTGCCGATTGTCGGCCGGCCACGCATACAACAGTAATCTCGGATTTGAGACGAATCCGGATTTCGGAACGAAATCGGGAAGAGTCAGATATCCCATGAAGCATGTTGGAAAATGACTCTACCTTGTTCAGTCCCCTTTCTCTCTCCCGAAATACGCCGGGGCAGAGGAGAAAGAAGAAATATTTGAGACCATCCCACCCGCCCTACGAATACTGTTTCTATTCATGAACTTGCTGATCATTCAAACGCTTCGGGTCTGGGCATATTGCGATCTGTATGCCCAGCCCGAAGAGTTACTTCACGGCGAGGCCCTCCTGTCGGTGCAGGAGGCCTCACCCAACCCAATCCAATACTTACATTGAATGATCTAGGTAAGGGACAAGAATACAACAGAATTATTCACAATCAAGCAAGCGTCCACAAAAAAAAAACGCACCCCGTGCCAGGGAGTTCGTCTATGTACGGGTGGATTTCACATCGATCGGTTGCAGTGTCATGAAGCCAGCTCCCTGAAATCCACGTACCTTCATCTTTCGATGCCATCACGTATTCCCCACACTAAGACGAAGAAGGTCCTTGGATAGCACAAAACAAACTTGTTTAGTTTACTCGGTGCAAGCGCTCTATCGTCATTATGCCGCCATGGAGCTATAGTATAGAGTCTAATCAAAATCGTCGAAGGAAAATATTGCTCGAGTCGTCGGGGCATCGGTGGGTAGTCTCTAGACGTTCCACTTTCGAATTGGCTGTCGTCGAACTCAGCTTTCGTGCTTGCATGGTGGGCCGTCTGATACTTTCTTTCTTGGCGAAATGGCCTCGAATACACGGCATCGAGAGCCGGGTATAAGATTAAACAGATCGAAAGCCGGGCACAAGCGTGCTTGGTACCACCGTGCAACAGACGGGCACCAGACAGACGGCACGCTGCTCGGTGGAGATGGTTGTCAAGATTATACCAAGACGTATACGGGGTACCTACATCGGCGACGGAGTCTGTCGAATTCAGGCTGGAATCCACCGAGGGAGTGAAACAAGCCGACCGAGCAGCTATTTCGCATTGCAATCACCTCAGCCTGCAACAATTGCGTCGTGCCCTTACTCTCCGTACACACCAAAACTATCACAGAGCGGGATAATGCGCTTCTCAACAAAATTTTGAAATCACACCAAATCGGGAAACGAACGTACCACAAATTATCTACATGTATGTGTTCTCTGAACCCTACAGTACTAGCACAACAACAGAAGGGTGGGGCAAGTAGACCATGTGTTCCCCTATCATGCTACTTTACAGTGTACTCTCGTCGACAAAATAGCCGAAAAAACTGCCTAGCAGTAGCGCTTCTTCAACGAATAGCACGCGACCCCAATCGGTACACAGAAGAGCAAGTATCTCGCGTCTTTCCAGTTTTCGTCGGCTTCGTCGTCGTCGTCGTCTCCTGACTCGTCATCATCATTCGTTTCCCCTTCGACTATCTTGTCCCTGAAGTTTGAAACAGCTTCCTGAGGGAAGCGGCGTTACAACCACGGGAATTGGTGGTGTGAGGGGGGGCATGATGCCCTGTTCGTTGGCTGCTCTGCTGAGCCTTGAAGAGATACCACGCTTGGACCAGGGGAAAGGAAGGGGTGAGGGCATGTTAAGTTAGAGAGGCTTTTCCTTGGGGAACGGCTTTTGGTACCCTTCTCCGGGGAATAGCCCCCAGTTGTCATGTACCGCTATTACCGCAGTACGCACCACAAGTGGATGGCGGTTTAGCGTGGCCGAGTTCCCGGTTGGGGGTCGACTCCCAACGCCTGACTAGCTTTGGATTGCCCGTCTACCCTAACAGGGCACACGGGGTTGCCATGAATGGCCGAGGAGGGTGGTGCTGACTCTCGCACTGCCTATTGATCCTGGACTGCACCCCATCAATCAAAACGATTCGAGTAATCTTCTCTCATCGCGCTCACTCGAACATACTGTATCGAAAAGCGCGTTGGCGCGCACCCGTCTCGTTTCTTGATCGGCTGCAGAACAGAACACATCAAGGCCGTATCGCCCCAGCTACCATACGGTGGCGGCGTGGCATTGTCGAGTCTCTTCTCTTCTCTCTCAATCAATGTGCTGGCGTGGCCACGGTCGGTCCTAGGCGGGACGGGGTGGCATCACTACCCACTTGGTTGTCTCCGAGAGATACTACGCCAAATCGTGCCGGGCGGCAGCACCTCGTTGATTGGTTCCCCTTAAGAAGGACGAGCCTAAATAAAGTGGTACTACGTAGAACGACCTTAACGCGCGGGTGAAAAACGCTACGATGTGTAAAGGACGGAGGGTGAGTGGAAACGATTCGGCGCCAATACTTCAACGACCATTTTGCGTGGGATGGGGACACGCTACGCTACTGAAGTATGCATCATCGCATGCCACATGCCACGTAAAATCAGGATGAGTTTTGTACAGAAGGTTGAAGGCTCGCTCGGTCGGTACCTTGTTTTCGTCGATGGCACGGGCGCAGTCCTCCGTCCCCGTGCCGGTCGGTTGGTCCAAATACGAAACGTCGGGGTTGGCGAAGTAGTTCGCCCTCGCAGCCGGGCAGCCTTCCTGGTAGCTCATAATTGTGATGTACCTGCGGGTGGCGTGAGAACCAGGGGAAACGGTGGTGTGCCGACGTAAGTACTACAAATATTTGGTATGAAGCGTGAAAAGCGCAAGGATCGCAGAACGGCCGTGCAACTGGAACCTCCAGATCACGATGATGGCAGGCCAGCGCCGTTGAGCTATTGGTCTGCGTGCTTGGCGGCTACTGAGTGAGGCCTTGGACAGTAGCCGAGGAATGTTCGCCGTAGGTGAATCAATGGCGCTTTTGAAATGCTGCATTTTGGTGTGTAGTCTCGTAGCGGCGCACCCACGGGGTCATTCAGAAACTCGGGGACAACCGTTTCGGTAGGCGTGAGGAACAACAACACATACGGGTTTGCAGTAAGGGAATGCCTAGGCCGAATACAACCTTATACGACTACACCATGTCGCTGGCGCACGCATTCCATGATTTGGTCAACGTCAGTAAAGCGTAGTGGGTGACGGTCGATCAACTAAGATTTGCTGGGTTTGTGCTTCTTCATTTAAATATTTTGCTGTTTTTCTTTGTCTTGTACGGCTTACTGGGGTTATCCTGTGGAGTGAACGCCGTCTCAATGGTCAGGTCAGTCAAGGCAGCAAGCACCGTGGACGTTCCTGCAAAGAACTTTGAAAATACATGACCACAGCACGAACACAACAACAATAACAGCAACAACAACAACAACAACAACAACAACAACAACAACTTGCGGCGCTTTGATGGAACGCGTCCGTGACGACCTACGATGTGCATCGCGCCCCAGAACCGCCTCTTACGTGGTACCCGAGCAGTACCGGTAGCCGTGAGCGTACTCCATTTCGATGGAGCTATGCTCGCGATTATGTGCGCAGCCAAGGTTGTGACCGAACTCATGCCCGATCACCAGGTTGTCGAAACAATTTGGGGACACCGCGGCATAGGCCCACTCGCTCTCCGTTGAGTATTCGTTCGTCAAAAAGTACCTGAGAAGGGACGGGGGAAAGCTCGATTATATCTTATCATAGCCTTGGTACTATTTACCATTAACCCGCTACCACGCGTCTTGTTTAGAGGAGTACTGTAGATTCTATCCTGATCCCTCACGAGAGTGTCGGTCACTCTTGGCGTCACGGATGAGTCGCATCGCTTTGTACTCTGCAACAACTGGGACCGAGCCTTGAAGCGCTGGATTGAGCTTCGGAATGCGCACGACAGCAACAACAAATCAACGAACAGCAAGAGCAGCGACGGACGGACATCGGGCCGGCCGGCCGTACGGTTTTCTCACGCGATTCCGCAGGCGTCCGTTAGGTAGTCGACGAGAAGAACGATGTCTGCCCCGTACTCATCGCGGAGCGCGTTAACCCCCTCGTCCTCTCGCAAGGCGCTGAGTTTGGTGCTGGAATCATCCGCGCAATCTTGGTAGTACGGCAGCTGCGCCGAACAAGCGAGACGAGCGCTAGAATCAGACGAAGACCTCGAAATAAGGGACATAGCCGAAACCCACGCGCTTGTTCACACCCGGTCAACCACTTTGATGTTTTCAGCAACCAGCCGGCATATATACTCTGGTCGCCAAAACTCTCTTTGTCTGCCGCTGCTGCTGCTGCTGCTGCTGCTGCTGCTGCTGCTGCTGCTGCTACTGTTCTGATTTCTTATGATATCCTCTTCTGGAATCAATGCAACATATTCTTTTGCGACTCGAAAGCGCATCTCGTCGTCGCAGGTGAGCACGTGAGGACGTGATGATGCTCTCCTGTTTGAGACCGACATCGCGCAACTCACCCTGCCTTTGTAGACTGTGGTTGTCTCAATCCCGATGTTGGAATTCTCGAAGCCCACGTTCACGGTCGAGATGGCGGCGGAGACCATGGTTTCCATCTGGACGTCGCTCACACCCATCAAGACCAACGACATGTTGGTGTAGAGCACCATAACCTGAATCTGTGTGCTCGTATGGCAAACGTCGGAAGGAGGAAGCGAACTGAGGTATCATGCTGGACCAAGCTGACGGCTATTTTGTTCAAACTGGTTTCTACAAGGAGGTGAGTTAAAGCAGGGGAGGGGGCAATGGTTTGATAGGTACCATTGTCCCCCGCTTTGGGATCCCCGTAGTCCCGGCGGCCCTCCTTCCGCAGGGAGGGGTAAGGTGTCGTTCTCTTCGTTGTTTTCTGTCTTCACCTTGAAATTGCCTGTCTAAAAGTTTATCCGACGACCCCGACGATTGTGAAACGATTTCCCTTTACCACAGGAGGGTAGTTCCCTAAAATTGCACGTGATATGAAATATCTGGGGAGAGTGTCCTAAGCGCTGAACATGTGGACGTCGCTATGACCTCGTTTGGTCGAGGTGGGTCATGTACAATAGCGCCGTGCTGTTATGCCCGGTGAAACGTCCACGAAAAAGTAAGAAGATGTCGGCAGACCATACCCGGCACGCATATGCTCACCTCCACGGTGTCGGACTGCAGCTTGCGGCGTCGACCACTACCGCCGCCGCCGCCAAACCAGCCCCATCCGAATGCCTGTTGCTGTTGGTGCCTGTCACGGCTGCCCCCCCCAAGAATACCGTCGCCCAGCCTTCGTCTCACGGCCGTGGACTGGCCGGTGCTGTTGACTCCGACCCTGAGAGGCTCTTTGCCAGGAAGAAAATCAAATGCGACCTGAAACACATAGAAGCACGAAAAATCAAGCAAACTCTTTCTCTAGTTGCACGGGAGGATGGAAGCCGGTCCGGTACACGATTTGATCATTGCCTATCACAGCCATTCCAAGGGAATCCGGCGCCGAAAAGAAGCGTACGTGATACATTTTGCTACGCCTTTCCCCAGAAACGTTTGCTTGACGTGTCGAACGTCACAGCATGAATCTTTCCGCCTGAACGATCATTGATGTGCTCAATAGAAACTGATTGGCTGTGGCTGAGAACGCCCAATGCAAAGGACCACTAGAAGCATGTCGCTAGTTGTATTAACGCAACAACACGACGACTCACACCAGCATCAAGCAGCAATGTTAGCGACAACGCACCTCGACGAGACAAACCTCCACGCCGGACAACCCACACGGGACGGACTTAACCGCAGACGTGTTTCCTTCGACGGTGTGCTTCGATACCTTTAGAGAGAAGGTCTGATCAAATCGCGGGCAAGGGAAGAGGCGAGAGGGAATAATCGAAGGGTATTCCACCATGAAGCTCGTCTTTCACAACCGGTGTTCCATCCATGCGGACAGCATGCTCCACTAAGGGACAAGTCCCTTCGTTCATAGTTGAAAAGGCATTGAATCCCCACGTTTCCTTAGTGACAGTGAGCAGGTTGAACTGTTCCCAATTTTGATGGCGTGTTGTCCGAAATTCAGCTCGTGCATCGTATCTTGGATATGACAAGCTTGCGTGCTGCGTAGCAAAAGGCTGCAATTTTCGCCTCCGAAGTGCTGAGCGCCGTTAGCGCTTGCAGAGAAGAACGCCAGCTAATGGGTTCGCCGGGCACGAGACATATATTACCACTGGTGGACCTGCTCTTCTCAAGTTCTTGAGCAAAACCGGCGTCAACCCATGCTTCGAATCTTGACGCTTCCGCTCTTGTAGACATGTAGTTCAGGGCGTCCTTTCATGTACCGTGTTTTGGTCCTAGTCCAAGGTGCCTTGGAAGACATGCTGGTTGCACGGTAGTTCTGGTACCGCATAGATGAGGTCCCAACGGCTGATCCTGCAGAGGTAGAGTAGGTTTCCGACAAGCCTCTGGCATGTCTTGATGCCGTTCCCATTGAATGTGCAGTCACTCTTGACCAACGTGACTCGATGACCTTGCATCCAGCTGGAACAGTAGAGACCATGGGATCAGTTCGTAAACCCTGTTCTTCTTCCGCCTGGCCAGCTCCTCGTTCATATCCTCCGTCCATTGAGCTGTGCGCGATCATCCCTTGGTCTTCTTGAAGGTCTTGAAAAGAGTGATGCTTGCTGCGTGTCGAATTTGGGTGTCCGCTTCCGTGATGCATGCGTACACGACAAACGAAGCTGGTTCGTCCTCGTGTTCAATTCTTTCAAGGCTAGGGTTTGCATCCGTTTCAGGGCCCCCGTCGTCTTGCCGTCGAGCCCTGCAGCAGTCTCGACGCTTAGGGTGCTATGCGCCGTTGTTTGCGACCGAAGGGTCCTGTTCAACGAGGTGACGGGTAGAAGCCTGAGTCTCTTCCTCTTCCTTCGTGTCCTAGAGCATGGCTCCTGAGTCGCTTGGTAAATCTCCTGACTCGATGTGGTCGAGCGCCGATCCCGTGGTCGCTCTGTTCCCCGCAGTCATCATCCGTGAGCGGCGATCCGTTGTCACTCAGTGTCCCTCCTGATATCGGCGAAGTGGGTGAACCTGACATGACCCCTGACCCCATGGATGGGGGCGGGCTCGGCGACCCCTCCAAGCAGCGTGGTTGAGGCACATCGTCGTCCTCGTCCTTGGCCTCTGTGATGCCAACGCTTGCAATCACTAGTGGCAAGTGCACAAGGACGTCCTGTCGGCATCAATCGCCATCGTATCCAGTGCTGGAAAGGATTTCATCCTGAGCAGCTTCCGGAAGAGCCTATTAAGGTGATTCGATGAATGTCACATAGCGGCTCTCGGCGATTCTCTGGGTGTGCGGGTTGTAGATGGGGTAGGACCTGCCCTCCTTGCCGTGACCACAAGCAAGCGTGATGCCTTCCTAAACCTTTCCTTCCAGCTTGTTGACGTGACTTTCCCTGTGAAACAGCACCCGAGCACCGATGGTCTGGATTCCCGACAGGTCTGAGTCTTCACCGAACAGCCTTGACGAGGGAGAGTTCCCACTAGTAGCGGAAAGGAGAACTTGGGTAGTCCTGTGCCGATGAGGATGCACCGCGTCCTGTTCACGATAGTCATTCCATTGCGTGCTGACAGTAAGTTTTGCTCGGGAGTGCTGTTGGCGGCGAACTCCATCTGAATTTGCCGTCTCCTTGCCGTAGTTCCTGTAGTAGTCGACCACGTATTCTCCGCCCTTGCCACACCTCAGGAGTTGCACCCTGAGTCCCATGGGGGCCACGTAGTCTTGACTGAAGTACGGTCCGTGTGTCGAGCGCCTCGTCCATGGATGAAATCGGATAACGTTTCTTCCGTCTTGGGTGAGAATGATCCGTTAATTTGCTGATGTACATCGAGCCTTTCTCTGCTTGAGGCTGGAAGAGTTCGGCCAGATCCGTGTAGATGAGCTAGCCTATACGGTGAAGTGTTCTTTTTAGTCCGATGCCTTGGGGTGACTTCGTGCACTCTTGCCGAGCTTGCAAGCCTTGCATGGCTTGAGGTGTCATCTTTATTCATGAGACCCGAGTCAGGTTTGAACCGAAAATTTTATGGTGACCTCGTGGGGTGTCCAAGGCAACAGTGGCATTTCTCGGCGTCCTCGTTCGTGATGAGGGGCGCCGATTCCTCTTGAGTGGATGTCTTGCACAGTAGAATGTTGAAGTCGGTCAAAAAGACTTTCCATGCTTCCGTCGAGGAAAACAAATGACGCTCTTCTCTTCTCAAGTCTTGCACCGTTGGATACGGCGGTCTTGATTCCCTTTTCTTGGTCAGCTCCAATGAGAAGAGGTTTCTCCCAATCCCTGGAACTAGTCGTGATGGACAGACGTGCGGTCTGCTTCTCTCCATTGATGACGGTTACTTCGCAGCGTATTAGGCCTGTAACGGTTCCGCGCAGCTTATGTAGGCCGGCCGTTGTAGTTTCACGGGCACGAATATGATAGGGACAACTAGTCTTATCGTCCTTGTCCCGGGAAAACTTGCCGTCGATGTAGTGGTCGGAAGCTCCGCTGTCCACCGTCATCGATAAGTTCTTGGTGCTGTCCTCTGACGTGATGGGGGCTTCTACCTCTTCGGTCATTGCTGCAAGCACGTCGCCCATGGCGTTCTGGTTACCTTTTCTCCTGATCGGATGCCGAATCTAATATTTCCCCGTGCTTATTTACCCAAGCGATGTCACCTGTGGAGACGTTGGCGCCTGACCCTTCCTCCTCAGTAGCTCTGGCGAAGGATGTTTCTCCCTGTTGATTTCCTCCCTTGGAGCCCGAACTCGGCAGGGATTTTCAAATCCTCTGGGCGTGGCATTCGGAGTCATCGCGGGAATTCACCTTGTGGAGAGAACCTCAGTTTTTGTTCCCACCCTGATCTCGGTCTTCCCGGGGCTGAACATTTTTGGGCTGTTCTTGGACTGTCGTCCACCCCCTGCTTCGTGTACTCGCTATTGAAGTGTCGGGGTTGGCCGCGCCCATGGAATTTGACCTCCGATTTCTTGTACTTCCTGGAACCGGCCGACTTTGCCGTTCCCCTCCCGCTTCGTCTGGATCTCGTGGGTCCATTCATGCGCATGTTGCGCATGAGGAGTTGTAGATCTACCAGTGAGTATTCAGGATCTCCGACGGCTTGGAAACGGATTAAGTCGTGTACTTCAGTGACATCCCAGCCATAATGATGTCCATTTTCCTGTGCTTCGATACAACAACCTCGCCCACCACCTCTAGCCTTCCGCAGAGCTGGCCGTGTTTCGTGATGAAGATGTCCGGGTGGGAGCTTTCACCTTCCGTCCGGACGTTTGCAAGTCTTGCCATTAGGGCCTGCCTTCTGTGGGAAGGTGTGCCTTAGTACTTGCGATTCGGTGCAAGACACCCCTCCCGACCATCAGTTTTCTGACCTTGAGGGCTTCGGTGATTGTGGAGTAAGCATCGTGCTGCCCCGTTCGTCGTCAGGAACAATTAGCATGGTGCTGGTGTGTGTCTTGTAGAGTCTTCGGTCCCCACGGGGCTGGCAGAAAGCCTACGCGGCGTCCAAAGGGCTGCGGTAGCTTGTTCTGCTGCAGGGTCGTTTCCTGCTGCCCCTGTAGTTTGGACACTTGCTCCAACAAGTTTGCGGTCCCAATCAGCGGCTCATTCGCTGGACACCAGGGCATCCTGGGTGTCTACACGCGTATACTTTCCGTCTTGCCGAGACTCACCGGTCAAAATCTCGAAGATGTCGTTTATGGAGATCTCCAGTACAGATATCGTGATGGTTTTCCACTCCTCATACTTGAGAGCGTTACCATGGAACTGAGGAACACCACACTACAGAATTCGACAAACGAAGTTTTTCTACAAACGGAGAAAAGGATGCTTCATCTCGTGTCTCTTTTCAGAACTAAAGAAACTTGTGCGCATCTGCAGCTAGAACACCAACGACGGCTCAGACCAACTCTGAGTTGGCCGCCCCTTACACCTGAGCTAGGGTTCGAGCTACGTTGTCTCCTAACGGCGAAGCGAAGAATGTTCGCACGTCTCTTTAAAAACAAGTAGTAAGGAACAAGCTCACCTCAACGTCGCAAACTTCGCCCCATGTCATGCTGACGCCTCGTGGGAACGCCTCGCCCGCATCCGGTTCGGGGTCAATGACGACCCCGTTCCAAATCTTCAACAATATGTTTTCGGGAACGCCATCGTTGAATTAACGCGCTGCAACTGTCGTCGTTTTGATTCTTGGTGGTGGTGTTGGATGGTTGCTGGTGGCGGTGACTATCGGGGACATTCCTTAACAGAACCCAACCGCAGTGGAACAACAAGGGACGGGCGCCCTACAACAATATATAGTCTACACTGCTCACCCTTCGACCTACTCCACCCGTGAAAGTCTCCCCACTGACGACCGTGTAGGAAGTTCGGTTTGCGATGATCGTCTGCCAAAGCATGGGACGATCGTCGGACGGCTGGAGGGTGAGAGGGGGTCCAATCTACACTAGAATAGTGTGCGAGGTGCACCATTGTACGGAACCGTGCTGGACTTACGAGGTACGTGAGAGTTGTGGCCATGTTTCCTGAATTCGAGCCAAGCGCTACACCACCACTGGACCAACCTCGTTAGCACTCAACGCGAACTGGAGGAGTGGTGCGTCTTCTGCTTGAACCAGGCTGTCGCACAGCAGCTCGCCCAGCTGGACCTCACCAAGTACTGAACGATTCGCAATTTGATCAGCGATAGGTGAAACGAGGTTGGGGTGCTAGGCCCTGCTTGTTATACGGCGCTCCACGTGGTACGTACTTCCGTTCACGTGCGCCTCTACTCTCGTACCCTAGTATTCCTCAATCAAGAACGCCTGCAACGCGTATTTCACAGGTATTCATGTATTGTTGCCCTTTACGACAGCTACCTTTATGCCACGGAAGCTGGAACTTAAACAGTTTCGAAGCACCATCTCCAGCGTTTCATCGACCACCGCCAACGATGTTCGGCGGTAGGTTAGGCCCTACCTTTCCTTGTAGTGGCACACAGGTTGTTGCCAGAACACTTTGAGATAGTCCACATACATGCATAGCTCACCTGTGACTTGCTCGTCAACCTCGAGCGTTTCGGCAAGTTCTTTCTCCACGGCTGACACATTCGTGAAAACTCCCGATGAATTCGACAGGACCGTGTCTCCCACCGCGGTTGATGTGTTGGTTGATATGAGCTCCAAGGCGTACACGACTGACGAGGACGACGATGAAGAGGACGAGTTCGCCCAGACAGACCCGCTTACGTCCGTTTCAGATGACCATGATGAATTTGTGGCTACAGAATCGACAGCGTCAGCTGTTGAGTTCAGGGATGTCGAGTTCGTGGTCGTCTCCCCCTCAATCTCAGATATACTCCCGTTGAGAACAGTGGACAAAGGGCTTGAGAAAGAGGAAGGGGATGCACTGCGCAACGGTCGGACAGAACCGATTCCTGCGAAGGGGACGCCATGGAGGGATCTTTGGCAGAGTCCACTGTCCAGCGCCGCAAAAAATACTAGCAGGGCGTGCCCAAAGGTTGGTAGACTCATGACGCAGCTCGATCAGCTGCTGTTTGCCTTCCTTGATGCCTGCAGGCAACACCACGAGGACAGTAACGATGTCATCAGCAGCAACTCCGGCAAAGGACATTACCAGTGAGTGGTGTCTTCACAACACACGTGGGGAAGCTCTACATTATGTAGTACATTTGACATACAGGTAGGTGTACAGCAAATACAAGGTCGACGGGTTCGTGAGAGGTGCTCACCCAACCACTTCGAGACACCGTTCAACTGCAACACACAGCAGTGCGGCTGTGTTGGCGTTCTGTTCGACGTATTGTGCTCTTGTGTTCGGTTTGTACTCGCTTCAGTTGAACCTATACGGGCCTACACAATTGGTGTGTTGCTGTTGTTGTTCTTCTTCTGGTCTTGCCAAACAATAAAAGGCCAACCTGCCGAGCTATGGAGATCCTCGTCGAAGGTAGAATGGGAATTGCGTGATGTATGCAGAAAATGACACAAGCCGACCCAGGAGGCACCCCGATCCGGGCTTTGTGTCGAAAGCAAACGTGACTGCAAGGCGTGACATCCATCGAGGAACAAAAACGTCGAGGTCGTCGTGGCGAAAATGCAGATTTCTAACCACTGGCCACCACTCACTGGCGCTTGACAATGTGGCATGCTGGCGACAAATCTGCTGCAGTCGGGGAAATATTGTCGTCGTAGTTGTGTTCCGTTCTCCCCAGGGCAACAATTCATGAACGAGAAGATTGTATGTACAACAACAGCAGCATCGAGCAAACAGTACATGTTGGCGGAACAACATATTGCACATGCCTCCCCGAAGTTCTCTACGTTTGCAGGTGTGAGAAGCTTGTGCACAGGCTCTGCAGATGGGCGTCAACTCTTCCTCGAGGGTAATTCTGCTCAAGAAGAACCTTTGCAGGCGACGATGAGTGTAGTACTTGCCCAAAGCATAGCACATTGAAGGATTGTGAGAACTGACCCTTAGGCTGAACACGCACACTACTGTACGTGCATGTATTATACATGTACGAACGCTGCGGTACCTGACAATTTGGGCCTTTCGCGAGCCCAAGGTTCCAAGATCTACCCCTCTCTCCTTGCCTCGAAGTTACCACATGCTCCTGTGCTTACTTCTCCTTGCCTCGAAGTTACCACATGGTCCTGTGCTTAGAAAAAGACGTCGGTGGTCTATGGTGCGATGGGAGGGACACATGTACCGCGTACCGTTGTAAGACTACAGGAGTAGAGATGGCAGATGTGCACTATGCCATGGAGTAATCCGCCGTTTCGGGACCTACCTACAGTAGTCTCGCCGCATCGCCGCATGCACGAACCAGAACGCCAACGTCACAAAACTGGTTCACCCGCCCAGTTCACCTTCCCTGTTGTATGCACGGAGTAAATCGTCTTCCAGCAGCAGCCGAACCTCTCCCCAGCCTCCTTGTACGCACCTCGCCTTAGAACCCCGCCTGTGCTGCCAACGAGGAGGTAGCGAATCACCTCATATTTTCCCTTGTAATTTGTCGTTGAAATTCTTTCGTTTTGGGACCTGGGACGCACTTCCCGCCGCGGACATGCCTTATCAGAAGATGGGAAGGCTATTGAGTTGGGGTGGTGATTTCGCGCGACTTCTGCTGTGGTGGGCGATGCTTTTTTGGTAGAGTGTGAGAAGAGCACCGGTTTTGACAGTCTCGCGCCAGCGCGGCGGAACCAAGGAAAAAATGTTCGGAAAAAGAGTAAGATGGGCTACAGAGTTACGCCGCATTTTGTCCGAACCGGCCTTATATTGGGGAGCAGAGGAAGTACAAGGTTCTTTCTAATGAAAGCCCCAAAGCAATCGCCATCGATCATCACTCCCGACGCGTTGGTATGTTAGCATCCGCATGACAGTATACCTGTATCTGCAGGGTGATTTCTTTCTTTGCTGCCGCGGTGACGACACCTCTGCTCCGGTGTCTTATGTCCTTCATTGTGAGCCGTGCCAACACAATGCCAGTCTTCGTACGGCAAACGCCGCCCTCTAGATCGAGTTTGGCCTGGTGGAGAAGATATGGCCAATTTACTTTCACCGGCCTGTGAGCCTCTGAGCCCCCGTGGGAGACGCCCACTAGTCCATTTGGGGTGCCCGATGGCTTTTATGATGGCTGTGAGCGGTGCCAACACAATGCGAGCCTCTGTAGGGCTAACGGGGCCCTTTAGATTATTATAAGAGTTTGTTGGCCTGGTGGAGCAGATATGGCTTTGCTCCACCAACCTTTGAGCCACTGAGCCCCCCTTGGTGGGCGTTTCTCTGCACTCACTGGTCCGATTGCGGTGCCCGATGGCGTGAATGATAGCTGGGAGACGTGCCACCACGGTACAACAATCAGATTTAGCCGTGGTAAAGCTACGTGACGGGAGGTGTAGCGGGACTAATGATGTTTATCGCCCCCCCGTAGATGCTGTGGAACCCCCTCTGTTGACCATATCTCTTTGGGAACATATCAAATGTGAGTGTCCGATAGCTTGTAAGAACGGTATGGACCGTTCCGGCACGATGCGAAAGGTTTGGGGTAAATTGGAGATGTGTGGACGGAGGTTCGAGACGATTACCACTTCCTGAGATGCTACGAAACCGTCCCCTTTTTCGGCTTATCTCTGCAGCCACTGGTCCGATTCAGCTTCTAGAGAACGCTTGTTTCAGATAGCTGTAGCACATTCCTACACGATACAACTAGTTTGAGGTCGATTGGAGCTCTGCGGGGGAAAATCTGCCTGGTGGAGCAAATACGAAGTTACTCCACCGGTGGAGCAAACAGCATTGCCGCTTCATTTTTCATGTTTCCCTGCTAAAGGTCGCCACACTCATCTCATACTTGCACAGACCTGTACAACCTTGGGTGGTGCTCCCGTGGTCGTCTTCGTACGCAAAGATGCACAAGAATGGTGCTCGCTAATATTCTCATCTAAATGAACGGTGCTATTGGTGCTATACAATGCAAACCTCGAAACAGATTGGCAGCATGCCGCTGATGCACGCCAAGAACAACCAGCATCCGCCCTGTCTTGTATCTCGCAACCACTGTACACATCAAGAGAAGCAAGAGTCCGCCAAAACACAACGGTCGTTTACTCCCAAGGTTGGAGCTTCTGGTGATGCCGCTGGCATTACGCGTTTTGAAGTGGCCGCCAACATCAACGAAGCAAGTCGATCATTAGTAACCACACGCGCGAATACATCACTGGAGCGTCAACATACATAATCATATATACCGAAACATGCAGGGAACATTATCCAGCTTCGTGTTGCACCAACACAATGCGACCGACTCAATACCGAAGCAAAACAATTGCTACGACGTTACCATGAACATAGCACTGGCAGACGTAAAATGCCCGCAAAACCGTCAAAATTCAAATCATATATACCGAAACATGCATGGAACATTATCCAGCTTCGTGTTGCACCAACACAATGCGACCGACTCAATACCGAAGCAACACAATTGCTACGATGTTACCATGAACATAGCACTGGCAGACGTAAAATGCCCGCAAAACCGTCAAAATTCAAATCATATATACCGAAACATGCATGGAACATTATCCAGCTTCGTGTTGCACCAACACAATGCAACCGACTCAATACCGAAGCAAAACAATTGCTACGACGTTACCATGAACATAGCACTGGCAGACGTAAAATGCCCGCAAAACCGTCAAAATTCAAATCATATATACCGAAACATGCATGGAACATTATCCAGCTTCGTGTTGCACCAACGCAATGCAACGGACTCAATACCGAAGCAAAACAATTGCGACGACGTTACCATGAACGTAGCACTGGCAGACGTAAAATGCCCGCAAAACCGTCAACATACATAATCATATATACCGAAACATGCAGGGAACATTATCCAGCTTCGTATTGCACCAACGCAATGCAACGGACTCAATACCGAAGCAACACAATTGCTACGGCGTTACCATGGACGTAGCACTGGCAGACGTAAAATGCCCGCAAAACCGTCAAAATTCAAATCATATATACCGAAACATGCAGGGAACATTATCCAGCTTCGTATTACACCAACGCAATGCAACCGACTCAATACCGAAGCAAAAACAAATGATACTACGTTAGGTATCATGAAAGTAGCACCGGCAGACGTTAAATGCCCACAAAACGGATTCAGGTAACGTCGTGTGAACGGGTTGTCAAGAAACACAAATCACTCAAGCTACACCATATATTCCAAAGTAATTTCTGAGGGATTTTCCGCTCAACGTTGTACGTCAAGGGGTAGAACGATCTGCGTCGTACTGACGTCGTTTGTGTTCGGATCACCTCCAAGTCCGCATTGTGGTCCACAGGTAACATGGGAGGAGCAAAGGGGCTGATACGAGACACTTGATTTTCGTCTTCCATTTTGTAGGCATCATTACTGACGTCTGAGAGGGAACCCCGTCCGTCGGTCGTGGATGGCCAGGGTGTAAGGATGGCGCGACCGTAATGTTGGCACCTTTCACTGGACGGAACTGCCGACGTACTTGATGCCACGCCTAGCGCACGTCTCGCGAAGAAGCGCGTTGATGCCCCCACCACCGCAGAAGTAAACCTCCGTTTCTTGGGAAACTTCACCGATGATGTTCTGAGTAAGTACCAGACATGCGAACACCAGGGGCAACGCCCGCCAACACGGGTTCGCAAACGTATCGTACCGTCGAACGTAGCCGGCCAACAAAGAAATGGAACGTGTCGTGTCGCGCTGACAGAGAAATGTCAACACAAAAAAAGAATGCAATACTGTCATTTTTACCAGAACACATGCCAGTACATGTGCGTTTTTCCACGTGCACGCGGTAGGCGGGTATTCTCTAGGGTGCGGACGTCGACCTTCATGGCGGCGTGGCGTCTGACAAGAACGTTTAATTGTCCATTAATACTCACTACAACAAGCAGTGAATGTATGGGACGGAATGTCGGTCGCTCACCTTGATGTCCAGACGACCCATGACCAGCTCGGGCTCGGGGCCGCTGGCCTCATCAACAATCTGCGAACGAAGAAGCCCAGCGAGGAATGAATAATTTTGCGCAACATATTGGTGAAGAGAGTGTCGGGTGGAGATTATTCCAGTTCTCCAACGATAAGGACGTACATAGCCTACAGAAGTAGCGTAGGTCATCGGATAAGCCGTCGGTCTACGCGAACGACACGATCTGTCTTTACTCGCCAAAGCGGAGAGGAGTTGTGGCGAAATATGAGGTGTGACCGACAAAGGTCGAGGGTCCCCAACAGTTTGTGGTTTGCAACCGTCGATATGGTCGAGTACACGAGGGAGGTGAGTACTGATAAAGGTGGGTGAGATGACCGCAAAAAACATCGGGTCCAGCCTGTCTAGCTAGTGATGGGAGCGACGAGAGGCCGCGTTCCCGTTCCTCCGTGCTACTGGAAGCGTATGATCAACCCCATGGCTCTGACTGGTCTGTGGTCATCAGGGAAATTTCACCGTGGGTGTGTTCTGTGTGCTACTTGTGCAGTCCCTCCGATACTTCGTTGCCAGGAAAAAGCGTCGTTCCCGGAAGGCTACCATTCCCACACGTATTACAGCACTCAACACCAACACCACTTTCCCCCACTGTCATTCAGTATTTACCTGAAGATCTTCGTGGCGTGTCAGAGCGGTCTGGATGTGAATCCCGGGGGACCGCTCGGCGAGAAGGGTGTTGGTGACGAACTGAAGCAGTGCCAGGCTAGCAGAGGAATAGTACACCGAAACCGGCCGCAAAGGCACGATGTTGTTGGCCCTAACATACCCGATGAAGTCAAGCACGAGAGCCGCTCCCGCACCTGTAGCAACGATCTTATCCAAGCGATGCGCGCGATGGATGCAACAGGCACGATGAAAGGCACGATGTTATCCACATCTTTGCAAAGAATTTGAACCAAGTTGAAAACCCGCAAGGGTCAGACGTGCGGAAGCAACCGGATGCCGCACTGATGCCTAGGAATCATCGGTTGGTCTCGAATCGGAAACGTTTATCAACCAATGGCTTCACCATTGGTTGCGTCAACGTGACATCCGTCCCACATTGCCATCAGCGCACTAGACCGACCAACTGGTTGGTTGGTTCCAGCCACAACACGTTTCAACAACCCTCCGAAGGTTTCTCGACAACGTTCCAATAAATCGCAAATCCCGTAGCCGTTCGTACCAGCAGGGGGGGCAAGTGTGGGAACTCCACCAGGCGGCCGTACTCTGAACGGTAGGGCCCGTAGGTGCGAAGCTCAAACGTTGGGTTCCGCTGAGCCGCCTCAAGGTCGGCGATGCTCGAAGTCTCGGGGTCACGGAAGATCCTCAAGATGAATGTGAGCCCCATACAGCTGCACTTCCTGTATCGGGGTATACCATTCCATGGACGCGTGTGGCCGTTGCCACGGTTGGTAAATGTGCACGCTGTGGTTGAATTCTACGGAGTGGATCGCGTAGACAGTGATTCTTTGTATGGGAGCAGGTATAAGGGCCACTAATAGCTACTTGGATACCGATATTCGAGCAGACGCGATCCCTCGATGAGTATCGAATGACCCACCACGCAACCGTTCCCCGTGAATGGGAGGCTTGTGGAAATCTAGTGCTGCCATTTCTGTCCCATGAGCCTATCGTTTTCGGGACAACCGTGAATCGACTAGCACGAGTGTTGGACTTGACAGGAATTCGGTGCAACTGACGTACATACACGTGCTCATACGTTATGTCGGCTGGTCGTCGAGCGAGTGCACGGGGAAACGTTAGGACGGCATGCACTCTATTCAGCGTTCCAGAACCTGCTGCCGCTGAATGTCTCCTTGCAATCATATCCTCGACTCACTTGGCTTTGGACGTCCTCCGGTTTACTTTAACGATGGCCATCTTGCTCCAAGACCCTGCCTGGATTGTTGCCAGCTGCCCTTTCTCAGCGTCAGCCTTGCGGTACTCTTTGAAAGCTGTCGTGTTGAGTCTCTTGATCACCGCCTTTCTGTTTGCCCCCCCGACATCGGCACCGGTCTTCTCTCTGACAAGCTTGTCAGGCCTTACAGGATAAGCGTGCAAACCGGGGACATGCGGAGTTCATGAGATGAGCCGCGGCAACATTGTACAGACGCGACCTTCGGCGCACTCAACAATACTTCCTGAATTGCGACGAGGATTTCTGCCACACCACAACAGATTGCTTAAACCTTGCACGAAGAAAATGCGCACGAAGTCAAGGACAACGTACTACTGTAGACCGGCCAAGACATACGTATATGATCGTGCATGACGTGTAGCAGTGTGGGCCCGGCCGAGAGAAGTTTTCTTGATTGAAGACTGCCTGTAGGCAACATGATGCGAAAACGTTCGTCTCCTCGCAGGCATAATCCTGCCACTGGTCTCCGGGTCTTCGGTAAGGCAAGGTCTCCGCAAATCGCATGTAAACACTCGCACTCTAACCAAGTAATCCCCACTTCCAGAGTCTCGTTCCCACCACCGGGGGGCGATACCCGTCTTCTGCGGGGATCTGATCGCCTGACTGACAGTTGCCGAAAATAAGACTACTGGAATCCATCACACAAGATTATTGTAGGCTGAAGATGTGGAACAGATTCAAGTGCGGCACACCTGAGAACACCACGCGGGGATCTGGTACCTTGCAGGGTTGAAACCATTTCCGTCGTTCGTCGTGCCGACCTCCGTCTCTGGTCCGTAAATCGTCCCGGGAAGTGGGACTGCTCCGGAAGCCAGCATGGGGGAAGGGATGTCAAGACAGACATTCGGAGATGAGGCAGGACGTCGCTGGGCTTGTCGGAAGCCTTGCGCAAGGATTGGCAAACGTTGTAGTCTTGAGCGTGAAACTTACATGAGATGTTGCTTTGTGACTGCAGACATGTAGTTTGATAAAGTCTACCGCAAGCCGTCAGCGGCGCGATCCTCCGTTATATTAAATAGTCACATCAGATCTCAACACTCACGGCTTAGCGAGCGGGAAGCCGTCGGCTTCAGCCCTCCCACGATGACGGAGACCTCATCAATGTCTGGGCGCACGTCCACCCCAATCATCGTGGTTTCCTCTGGCTCCTCCTTCTCGTCGTCATCGAAGATAGAATCCACGTCGATGTCCTTGCTGTTGCACGTGTGTGATGATGTCAGCCGGGCACCACGCATGGGGTTGCATTCCCCGAAGCCCAACGATGGCACCGCGGGCACCACGGCCAAAGCCGACGTCGGACAAATTCAAGGCTGGGGTCAGCAATCACCAAACCGGGGTGTTCGACACCAAAGGTCCAGAATGTTCAACCGAGATCTGCAGCTACGGGTTCCTCCTACCATCGCAACTCGTGCCGTCTCTGCGTTCAGCATAAACTCAGACTGGCCCCATTCGTTCCGGAACGTGTGCGTCAAACACGACCGTTCTCCCACCTCCCAGACGAGCCATGCGTCCCGAGGCTTCTGCCACTGAAGAAGGATGGCACGTTACGGTGCTTAGGGTCCGTCGTGACGGATCGCTGACCGCCGCTGGCGAGCAAGAACCGGTGGCCTTTCCAGTGGACGCTGGTGTCTGTCGGGACCTCGATCATGGTGTTCACCTGAAATTGGGTTGTTTGCGGATGGGGAATCTGTTTGATAAGCGTTGATTAGGTTTACAGTCATGCTTTGGGTGGCGTGGATTCCCGTTCCCTCTGTATGAGCTGTTGCAGTTGATGTTAAACACGAGAACGGAACAAGGGTTGGAGTGCTTTACTCAGTTTCAGATAACGGAATGCGTTTTGTGCGACAGGCAAACTGTTGTAAGTCTTTGCCGCTTTGCCTCATGGATATCTTTCACCAAGCTCCCCGCATGGGTTCCGTGTATATATGTGAACGCGATGTCGTCAAGGGGGGTAACGTGGACGGTGAGATGAGCTTCGTGGCATGTGGTCGGCGAGTATGGAGCTGGGAGACACCAAGCGGTAACCGGTTTCTTGCACAAAATTAAGCTGTCAAGACCAAATCCAAACACTTGGAACTCGCGGATACAGCAGTGGACTCACCGCCGTAGTGTCGGAGAGGGTGGCTGGTTTGTTGGGCGTGTCATGGGACGAGCACGTGGTGAACGGGTGCGCCATCTCTGTGCCATCGCTGCCATGAAACGCGTAAGGCCACAAGGAAAGCAGGTGATCGAGGTGTGCTACCAGAAAGTGATTGTATGGGCCGACCGTCTGCAACCCTATCAAGCCCAACAAGCGAGATCGTCGTATGCATAGCTTTGCGTCTCTTTTGATACTTAGACTACTGTACCTCGCCCCGATGTCGCTAGGAGTGGCCATACCTGTCTCTGTGTTTCAGCCAGAATATGTCGCAGATGCGCTGAGGGTGGTCCTCATGCCACAGCAGTAGCATGTAGTCCTCGTCCAAAGAGATGCGCGTCGTTTCAGCGCGGTGGTCCACTCTGCCATAAATTCGTATGCATATGAACGGTTTGACCGTTGAGTCAAGTGCCACATATCCCCGGCTACCAGCACCGACTAATTGACATCTGCGCAGAGAACCTCTTATTTCGCATTACAAACCAGTAAAGAGGTGTTGCGGTGAAGATAACCATGGCCATGAAACCCAGCGCATAACATTTCCTAGCATCAAAAATGTTTACCGGTGTTGCGAACGACTCCGTCGACGCTACCTGTCGTGTACGTAAGACTTGTCCATTACTCCCTACCCCCACCGTTCGATTAAGCACCTCATGTCTTACCCTATAAGCACCTCATGTCGCGATTTGTCGGGTGTGTCACGCGTTGTCTTCTCAATGGCTTAGTGAGCATGCACATACCACAGGTTTGGCTGTATTGCAACGCTATTGAGGAACACTTGTCGTCTCACCTACCCCTTGTTGAGCACCAGACCTTGTCCGCGATGTACCACAGAAAGACGGGGGTGTTGAGGATCCAGACGTGCGGATGTGTCCTGCGTCGCCAATTGTCGAAGAAGTACCCTATGCCAACGCCCTGCAAAAGGTTCCGCGATCGGTGCGTGGTGGGAAATCTCTCAAACTACTAGCAATTTTGCTAAACCGCCCATGGGGCACCCATGCGCAGCCCATAGGTACTTCGTGGGCACTTCATGGGCTGCTAGGACTAGGGTTTTGGCGCTAGGGCTCTTACTTGTAACAATGCCCCTTCCAAAGCAGATAAAATAATGCTTAGGAGCACACAGGTTCCGGTTGAAGGGCGCCTATTGCCGGTCCATGGGCGGCCCATGGGCCGCACGTGGGCTGTCTATGGACGGTTTAGCGAAACCGCCGAAAGTGTGGGAGACCCGTGGTGGAGGGGTGCTTGAGGATATCACAGCACTCTGCCTCACGGCTGCCTTCCTTCTCTCAGCGGAAAATGGGTTGTCATTGGGATGGCACATTATCACGTTTTCAAGGATCGCACCCAAAACGTTTGGCTACGGCGCTGGTTGGGTATCCACCCGAATGACCCCGCTCTCCCGAATGATCTTATGTCACCCGCAAAAGCTGCCATGTCGATGTGGTCCAATCAGCTGTGGCTTACCATGTGAAGCCACATGGCGAGAGTGAAGTTCTTCTTGAGCGCCCAGGCCGAGCGCGACAGCGGTATCAGGACACAAAAGATAAGAGTCATCCAGAAGATACGCCAGATGTCATCGTATCCCCAGTTGGCGAGTTTGTTGTCCACGTCGACGTTGCTCACAGCGAGGCTCACCTGCATATCGTGAGAACCAGATCGATGGGTTTCGGATTATCTGGACTTTCCGACAATACTCGTGATTTGTAGCGATTCCGACCCACTGGCCCTTCATGCCTCGAAATCGGTTTCTAACCGGACACGCTACGGCGTCCTCTCCACAGGTCAATAACCTACTGAGGTTCGTGATGCGAGACAAAAACACATCGGGGTCAAAGGTATGCTTCGTTGTACAGAACAGCTTGAGCATTTCCATGGACCACGATATGACCAGGGTTGGACATCTCATGGCACGTATCGTTCGTTTTGGGTGGTGGTGCCATTCTCTGGTCGTCGTGAAACGGTATACGTAGTAGCCATTTATGGCCAATGGTGAACACGATGACTTCGTACGGTTTCCTGCCAGCACTGCTTCCAATTCAGAATATGGCCAGTTCAAATCGAGCAGATCTCCCAACAAAATCGCGATATGGTATGATTTCTCATATTACAGCACGAGCCCACGACTAGCTGCCGTTTCCCATATTCGGACTGTTGGTTTCCCAACACACTTGTTTGACATGTTTTTCCGAAAATAATTCGGGGCTGGCACCTCGTAACCTTCTGGGGAGTGTGAGCGATGACTTCACCCAACAAGCAACATTTTTGGTGAGCCAAAACATTTCCAGCATGCGTGAACGGCGCAACTTCATTTGGTCCTGATTCCCAACCTGGTGTTCGCGTCATTTCTTGACGCCCACGCCTTTCCCTACGTGGGTCTGATGGTTACCTCCCAATCAGTACGGGAATCACCAAACAAATAGTGCGGTTCGTGATGACAGGGACGTTTCCATGAGAATCTCTGGGAAGACAGCCGGGACGAGAATAGCACTGCCACAACGAAGCATGTCTTCAGAATACTCACGCCGCTCCGTAGGGGGAACATGACAATGGTCGCCGAGACTTGCTGTAACTCTGCCCTACGGCTTTCGGTCGAACGTCTAGTCTAGACTGTTTTTCGTCAGTGTAGACCAACAAGCAGGAGAGTCAGGCAACATCAACGTTGAACTTTGACGTTCAACGACTACCGTGCGCCATGGTGCTCTCGCCGGACGTTTTCGCTCTTTTCAGGCATTATTTTGGTACTGGTGTGATCACGGGCTTTGAGTTTAGCTCCGTGAATATGGGAAAGAGCTGGATGATTGTCGATGAAGATCGATGGAGGCACGAACTGTCCTTCACGTAAGGAAAATGACTCTTACATCAACGACTTCTTTGTAATGTAGATGCGGAGACAGGGGTACGACTCAAAGGCAATGCGAAAGGCGTTCACACCTGAAAGGGAAGCTCTACCGGGCCACCGACGGCCACATTCTTGAAGCCGTGGAACAATGAAGGCAGGAGCAAGGAATACACGTGAAGCATCGTCCAGATGCCCATGGTCCAGCCACCGATGGAGTGCAGCCAAAAGTTGTCGGTGCGCCACGCGTACAGGAACGGCCGGAGCACTTGCACTTCCGATAGGAAGTTCCAGGTGCCGTGGCACATCGTGATGAACATCAAGCTGTGGCGGCGATTGAGATGCGCAGGAGGGATCGGGGCAAGTCATTGGGAACGCTCAATACAAGCATGCAGACCCTTCCTAGCGCGACCTTTGCAAGCGATTTTCTCTGCTCTCAATCGATAATGTCTCAAGTCATGGGTCTCTCCTGCCTGTCGTAGAATTTCGCGTTCATATGGGCGGTGCGTGTGTGTTCTCTGGAGTACGTAGATCTTTTGTGCTTACTCTCACAGGCACAACGTTTCGATTCGTCAACGGGAATGCACACATTCAAAGATTTGTTCCCGAACCCTGTTGGGCGGCACTGAGACACCACACCTCATGCATACATCAATGTTCCCTGAACAGATTCCGCTCTCACTTGGTGGTGGAGATGATGAATCTTGCGCTTGCGCGAGCTATGGCGTCGAACGCTTTTGCAGACCAGGGGCCAGCCTTGAGGCAGCCTGGGTCCTGCACAATGACAGGCAGGAGGGGGAGATTTATCACGATCCTAGGAGTCGACGTGACGACGTCAGGACATGGTGTCTATGGTGACACACGATGTTCTATGCACCCTTGTCTGCATTCCACAGAATGCCAATAGGCAAAATCTTTTTCCTTTCTCGATTCAAGATCTCCGTGACCAATGACGCAGAGGGGATGTTGGGTCAATCCCCGAGAGGAAATGCGCGGTGGAACCTCAGAGGGCCAGTCGGCACTTGTGAGCGTACATCAGGTACACCGTAGGTCACACGTCTACTGAAAGCGAAACGATCAACCCCATTCAACCTCTGTGGACGAATACCACAAATGACTGTGCATGTCGCGGTCGTACATAGACAAACGGTAAATCGAAGAAGAGTGGTTGGCATGACTATACTCACGTCATCCATGTCGCAGAAAAAGTCACCCCCGCACCCATCGGAGCATATCGTCTACCTGGGCCAAACATTCCAGTAGAAGCGGTCGAGGATCATGAAGGTCGAGATAAGCAGCCAAACTCCGAGGCACACGTAGCGGTACACTCCGCTGTAATTCTTCCCCACGAACGTCACCTGCAGCGGAACGTGGTGGTGACGGTGCAAATCGGTATATTTTTCGTGCACTGGTGTGCGCGTCTACGTACAGACCACGCACGAAGGAGTGCGCGAGACGTGCATCGAAAAATTTCCGCATGATATTGAATCCAAACATTTCATGCAAGGCAGTCTCCCACTTCCAATGTAACCCGTTCCGTCGCCAACCCAGGCATGACTTTGCGTGACTCAAGAATTCTTTTACGGTCGCTGCAGGACCTGGGGACTGCAGTTTCTTCGCATCTCGAACGGCGTCTGTCTGCAATATCTCGTCTGTTGGTCTCTCTGTTTCTGGAAAGACTGTTTCTATTCTGTTTGTACAGTAGTCACCGGCTACTACGTGTGGCTCTCGTTGTATCGCTCGCTGCAAGCACCCGTACCATAAAGCCGGAAGAGGAAGTCATCGCTGGTAGTTCGCGTCTGGCAAGAAATGGACATCTGAGCCACCTCAGCAATCGGCGGGTAGCAAAGTTTACCCAAGGAAAGAGTTATTTCGCCGCAAACGTTGACGTGGACCGCGATATCACGAATCTACGCACCCAGCGGAATACCGTACCAGTGCCGAAGGGCCTGTTACAAAAACACTTGTCAAAGCATTAAAAGCTTGACGACCCTGATACTACAGGGCGATGAGCATGGTAAAATACGTTCATTCCTCCCTTTGCCGTCCCACTGGTCGCATCATCCCACGCGCCTCGCTGTTAGAACACCCACGTCTTCCCGCATTGCCAACGTGCTACCGCACCGTTCCTTCACACCCACACCATGAGCGCCGCCTCGCTCGATATCCATGTGCTCCTTTCGTTTGCATGTTACGGTTGACCAGGCTAGCTACTTGTACGTGGTTGAAAATTGACGACACGGAAGTACGTTCCTCAGATCATCGATGCTACCACCGTAGTCGTCGATATCCAGAAGAAAACGTGGCATGATACCAGGCATTGCGTGGTATTGCTCCTTCTTAAAGTTACGATTACGGGGAAGCCAACACGCAGCACGTTGGTTGTGTACAGGCGACACAGAAATATGCTGAAGAGGAAGCATATCCGCTAATCCTTGCGTTAGAGGCTTTCACAGCTGTTGTTTACTCTCTCATGATGCCCCTTTGATCCAGGTCCTCTCAACGCTCACTCGGAACCCTGACCACCGTACACCGATGGCAGAATACTATGTAAAGGAAACCTCAAAAATGCAGGGCTCATACGTACTGTAGTTTATTTGCTCCCACTACCTTTGCCCACCCTGGGAAGTCGTATCGAACACTGTGCCGCCAACCATGATTAGTATATGTACCGAATATAAACAAGAGGCCGAATACAGTGAGAGGCCCCTATCAACGCTAGCACGTGCCTGGCGAATCGGTCGACGGTATTCAGATGGGCCGGCGCTATCCAACGATCAGAATGACATGGTGATTCAGTGTGTGCTCAGGAATTTCACCGGCGCTACGCGGGGCCAACCGGCTCCAGGCCGCTGGCGAGTGCATCATCCCCGGCCCATGCACTGACGACCTCTCTTTGAATCACGAAGCAAGACATCTGAGAAGAGAGTTGCTGCCATGCCGCCCATCCCGATGTCCCGTGCACTACCAAAATAAATGTGTTTTGTCCGCAAGAGGTTGGTGAGGATGTTATCGCACAAGGCCCGACCTTCGACGACTTGGTGGTAGTACGAAAGCCTGCCCAGCGTGGAACTTACCTGCTAAATGTTCGTCGGCGGCCGAGTGTATTAACCTTATCGGCGCAAGGGCTAACATCGGTAGAGGGTGTGGCCAAAACACGAAAGAGTTCCTTGTACTATGTATGGCAGGCGCTCACACCCCACCCGTACGTTGGCTACATGTCATGTCGGGGCGGCATCGACAAACACAAATTCACCCGTCCAGCGGGAGGGTCCAGGGGCGGAACATGCGAGCTTCCTCACAGTCCATGAACCGAGAACAAGCGAGATGGGTTGCGATTGTACCGGGTGGTCATCATGTGGAGACCATCACACACGATTAATTCTCACCTCATCGAGTGCTTTCCGCCGCGTGTGCAGGCTCTCGACATTCTGGGTACCGTTGGAGACGGTCATCGAAGGTGAGAGGGCCTACTGTCAAGAACCCGTACTGCCGTGGCAACTCCGCCTGTTTCATCGGCGGGCAAAATCCCGTTTGGAGCAGTCAGAGAAATCGGTGATGGGCGCGCGGTTGGGACCGGGACCGAGTCGCTTCTTCCGGCCACCGGAGCCGGCGTTGGATGCGTGCTGCGATCTGTTGGCAAGTCTCGGGTCTTTACAAAATAAGTAGAACACCTACACAGCTCAACCCGAGCACGAGGGGAGGACGTGTGCACAATGGGGTAACGATTCTCCAAGAATGACACATGGCCCGCCGTCACTACATCTGCCGTTTGAAGTGAGCTTCGCCTCATTGGGTTCCCGTGGTATGTATTGCTTGCTACTCCTTCCTTTCTGCTTTGATTACTTTCCCAATGCGGGGTTTGTTGTCGTTGCTTCCCTAGGATAAACACCTTACGGTGGGGCTGAGAAACAAGGGCGATGAAACACGTGTTCGACCATTAAACACCCAGCCTAAATCACAAGGCCAGAATTTGGACCATTCGTTTTGATGTACTCGGCGTGACGAAACTTGAAATGCTCGTCGATGACATCCTGTTGGGGCGGCAGACAACGCGTACAATGTGGTCCGGCGCGTGCAATAGAACTTGGATCCCATGTTTTGAAAGTGCTACGCATCCACGCGTGTCCTTGCACGTGCACCACGGCACCTCGAAGAATCTACGACAAACCTTCAGCAACGCAACAAATCAATCCGCGGTTACAGAGTAATTGGGGTGAAGCATCGCCCCCCCCGCCCCCTGTGGGCGGGGGGAGCATTAAGTAAGGTGATAGATGTTGAATATGTCTGCGAGAACGGCCGACGTGTGCTGCGCGGCTATGGTCGATGCTGTCAAATATTTCATTTTGTGGGTACAATAATATCGCATTTTTCAGGGCTTTTTTCGTTGTCGGTTTTTCATGTCGGCATCATTTCCCGCGTTAACCACAAACCACGGTACAACACAGTATATTGGGCGGTAACTGGCCACCACGTTAAATTCCGTACGGCAACTGGTCGCCACCGTAATTTTCTTGTACGGTAACACCCAGCCACGGTAATGCACAGAAATGTGCTTATTATCGGTCACTGGTCTCCAGCATCGCCTATTGCTCTCTGGAGTGGAGTCCGTCTTTTGTGGGTTTCGTGTTTCGGTGTGTGGGCTCACGTGTGCCTCTATGCATATGCATACAGTATGGCCACGAACAAGGAGCGTTCCCTGAACGGCAAAAAAATCCTGGCAATGCTATTTGCTCCACCGGTGGAGTAACCTCCTACTTTCTCCACCAGGCAGATCTCCACCCACAGAGCTCGAATCGACCTTAAACCAATTGCATCGTGTAGGTATCAACTACAGCTATCTGCAATGCTACTTAGAAGAAGCTAAATCTGACCAGTGGCTGTAGAGATATGCTGAAAAAGGGGGTTCGGTAGCATGTCAGGAAGCAGTACTCGTCTCGAACCTCCGTCCACACCGCTCCAATTGGCCTCAACCCTTTTGCGTCTTGTCCGCACGGCCCATGCCGTTCTTCCAAGCTATCGGACACTCCCATCCGATATCTTCCCACAGTGATATGGGGTTCCGCAGGGTCTAGGGGGGGGGGGGTAAACGTCAATTGTCCCGCTATACCTCCCGTCACATAGCTGAACGACGCCCTTCATTTCCAGAGCTCTATACGGCCGGAAGCTCACGCCTGTTGGCCTAGAGAGACAGCGGTCATTTTCTTGTGAAGTACGGGAATGCACATGGTGATTCTGTCCCGTAGATGGGAGCTTAATGATCTTACAGTAATGTACTCCGGGGTAACTTGAAAAAAGGACGGGAAGTAAGTGCGATTAATGCGCGGTAATTTTTTGTACTATAAAATGGTATTACTCATTTTTTCGTTAACGGTTTGGGCGTTACCGGTAATTCTCATGTATCACGGGATCACGGGAAGCGGCAAAACACAAACCGTTATTCTTATATATATTCCGAAATCCCAACCCATCTTATATTGATTCATTGCGGATCAGGGAGTGAGTACGTAGTTCGTAATATGAGTTTGACATAATAAGAAGTGGAGTCTGTTCGTGGGTCTACGGACATGGTTTGGATATGTTAGCCGTACGTACAAGTGTGACGCAGATGGTGTAGAACCTTTTAGGTAGGGGTACGGTGATGATGCACCGGGGCCCCCTTTTGTTGTGTGCAGCAGCCCTGCTGCCACTCCTCCTTTCCCCTTCTGGCCGCCACCACCGCCGCCGCCACCCTTCTTGCGGCCGCCGCTGCTGCGGCCGGGCGCTCCACCCCTGCTGTTACCGTCGCTCGCGAGGAAAGCATGCTCCGCCTTGTGCTGGCCCTTCGGGGCCTTCCTCCCCTCCGGGAGGCTCGCGTGCACCGTGCTTACGATCCTGACGATCTCGCCCCTGTCCAGCTTTGTCGCCGTCTCCAACAGGAACTTCGCTTGTTGGTACTCGGGTGGAAGCGAGTCGACGAAGTGTGCGAGGACAAATGGTGTGTCAGCGTTTAGCCCCTTTTCGCGTAGGTGCATGTATATCTGCTCGAGCTTGCTTAGGTGCTCGATTGGATTGCTGCTGCTGTGTGCCGGGATCGAGAAGCGGAACATCTCTTTCATCAGGGCTTGTTTGGATCCCTGCGACTCGGGGTCGTAAACTTTTTCAAGCCCCCTTCGCCGTCACACAACTACTGACGACCGCTTTGTCGGTTTCTTTC